AAAAAAAAAAAAAAAAAAAAAAAAAAAAAAAAAAAAAAAAAAAGCTGAGAAGGGTCTGAGACACTGAGCAGCAGAATCAAGATGTAAAGGGATCTTACTGAATCTTTAAGAACAAAACTAATAAAGCAGAGAGCAATGTTAAGTTTGATATATAACCTGCACTTGAATTGCTTTGGGATACTGAATTGATTGCAAACTCAGAATGAGTCAGCAGTTTGGTAGGGCTTCCAAAAAGTTAAGATGACTGGATTCATTCATAGACTCCAGCAAGAAAGAGCGGATAGTCCCTCACTCCTCCAAACCAGTGAGTGCTCAGTGGATTCCATTGAGTTCTAGACACCACATTTTAAGAAGGAACTGGTGCTATTTAACCTAGAGAAAAACTGACTCAGGTGAATAGTCTGTCTCTGGTTTTCAGAATGAATGTCACATAGAAAAGTGAGAAAACTTATTCTGTATATTACCTGAGGGTAGAACGAAGACCCATTCCCCACAGGGGTCCCCTTCTTACCTGATCTTATTCGTCTTCCTCAACCTGTACTCTGGGAACTTAGTAGAGAAGAGTTTTAAAAGGATAGGAATAAGCAGTCTAATTCAGACTCCTTTATATAGGGGGTATAATAAAGCAGTGGTTGGGAGGACCTAATCCAGTAGCCAGGGTCAGCTCAGCCTTGAAAACTGATACTTAAATAGGCGGAAAGGAAGAACACATTCCCGATGGGAAAAGCGGTGTACTTCATGGCAGGGATGGACTGGGAAGGGTAGGGTCAGGGAGGGCAGGTGTGGAAAGTTTGAGGGGAGAGCAGCCTGGCTTGTAGCAGGTGTGGGCACCTAGCGCACTAAAATTAGATTTTATTCTGGGAGATAAAACAACATTTGTATCTTGAAGCTAGTTGATGTATGTAAGAAGATTCTGGTTGTAGTGGGACTGGCTTCGTGGCAATTCATTCATTGAACAGATCATTGTTCACTGCATACTGTGTGCCAGCCTCTGTTCCAGGCCTTATGGATCTGGCAGTGAACAACATAAAATTCCCACTTTTCTGGAGCTTTGCGGAGTAATGGGCAATAAACACATTTAAAAGACAAGTTTTGATGGTGAAAAATGCTGAAAAGAAAATGAAAACAGGGTAATGGGATAGAAAGCAACTTGCCAGAGGGGCTGAGGTAATCAGAGAAGGTCTTATTGAGGGGGTAGTATTTGAGCTGGTGCCTGAATGGTGAAAAGATTCAGACAGAAAGAAAAGCAGGTGCAGAAGGCCCCGAGATGTTCACGCACCTGGCGTTTAAAGACAGTGAGCCAGGGAGAAAGCAGAGGTTGTGTAAGCACTGACTGGTGATAGCAGGAGGGTGGAGCTTGAAAGTGCCATCAAAGTGGATTTGGAAACACCTCCCTAATGGGTTGTGGTCCTGGTCCCCCATGACTCTTTGATGTAAATAAGGTGAGGGATAGGAAAACCTGGCCTGATACAATTTCATATGTAGTGCAATGTGGTAAAAAGAACAGTGGTTCTGAAATCGGACTCTGGCTTAGGCAGAATTCTAGCTCTGCCACTTCCTAGTTGTGTGACCTTGAGCAAGTACTTTAATCTGTCTACATTTCAAGTAAGAGAACTAATTCCCACCTCAGAGCTGGTGAGCCCCACTGCTGGTGAGCCCTCACCAGAGCTGCAGGCCGGGTGCATGCTTATAGCGCCATCTTGCGTTTAGTTGGAGGTCCACAGTGTTTTGTTGGAAGTGCAGTCCATCCACTGTCCCACTGCAGTGTCCTGGACTTTTCTGTTCTAAGCACCATGTTTTGAGGGACATTGACCTGAAGACTTGCTGAAAGCACAGGAGAGGACCCCCAGCCTTGGGGAACATACCTCTATTCAAGGGAGCAAATGTGAACTCTTGAGGTTCCAATGCCAGGATCATGAAGAGTGGGAGTGGATATGGATAACAGGAAGGCTGCAAGTAAAGAACCATCTTACTATAGTTAGATTTGCTCAAGAATGAAATGTGCTGGCATGATTGGAGATAGGATAATGAGCAAAAGCTTAAAGTCAGTAATATCTGAAACATTTTCCTCACTGAAAATGTGTGACTGTTACTCCAAGACTTTAAAAGAAAATGGTTCCGCCATTGACAGAAATAGAAGTGATTGGAAAAAAGGAGAAAGGTGATGGATGAGCTGCTGTAGCAAATGTTAACTGAAAGCAGAACTCTAAAGCAGAATGATCTAGAGGTGATGTCCAAGCCAATTGCTTCCTCCTGGAGTGGAGTCAGCCTGCGGTAGACCTAAGAAATCAAGGCAGCTACTGTGTGAAAGTACAGGCAGCTCAGGGGCCAAGGGGATGGCCCAGGCCTGTACCTGCAAAAGCATGTTACTAGGATGTGTGTCCCAAGGTGGACTTAGGGTGAAGCAGGATTTGGAAGTAGTGCTGGAATGGAGAGGATGAAGATTTACAAGGTCCAGAAAAACTGAGAAACCCAACTAATTTCCAAATAAGCCAGATGTGGGTTTAGGAGTCATCCTATGGAAGTCTGAACTCAAACTGTGCAAGAAAGAAAGTGTAAGGTGAGATGCAAGCGTCGAGCCTTAGGATACACTCACCTTTGGAGTCAAGAAAATGCAGAGGGACTGAACAGCAAAGAGGTACAACACAGTTGTAAAAACAGCATCATAAAAACAATAGGAAATGTTTTACAAAAGAGGGGAGTGTCCCATTCCACGAACTTTTACCCATTCAATTCCTGCCAGCCAGGTCCCTGCCCCTCTCCCCAGAGAGCATTATCTCCCATCTTTGCTTCTGGGTCTTCTCTCATTAGGTTTTGGTGTCTGTCTACTGATTCCTTCTCCATCCCTTTGCTACAGGGGGTGGCACTGAGAGCCGACCAGTCCTTCGCTACAGCAAGGAACAGAGGCCAACCACGCTGCCCATCCAGCCCTTCGTGTTCCAGCACCACTTCCCCAAGCAGCTGGCCAAGGCCCGGGCCCTCCACAACCTTTCCCAGCTCTACAGCCTCTCAGGCTGCAGCCGTACACAGCAGCCTGCCCCAGTGGCTGCCCCCACTGCTCAAGTCTCAGTCCCAGCTCCCTCAGGGGAGCTGCAGGCATCCACTCCCCGAGCCACTGGCAGAGGTGCCAGGAAAGCTGGGTCTGAGCCAGAGACCTCTCGGCCATCGCCCCTGGGCAGCTACTCCCCCATCCGGAGTGTTGGCCCCTTTGGGCCCAGCACTGACTCTTCTGCCTCTACTTCATGCTCCCCTCCCCCAGAGCAGCCCACAGCCACAGAAAGCCTGCCCCCATGGAGCCACTCCTGTCCTGCCGTCCGGCCTGATACCTCCCAGCAGCCGCAGAAGGAGGATCAGAAGATACTGACCTTAGCTGAGTACCGGCTCCATGGAACAGGAAGCTTGCCGCCTCTGGGCTCTTGGCGATCTGGCCTCAGCCGAGCAGAGAGCCTGGCCCGGGGAGGTGGCGAGGGCAGCATGGCCACCAGGCCCAGTAATGGTATGAGATCCAGCATCTCCCTCCCAAACCCACCACCTCACACAAGCACTTCCACCTCCCCTTTCGAGTGGTTTCTTACACTCTCACCTGGGGCCAGAGGTTAGGATGTCCACCTCCCTTCCCCAGCATCTGTAGATAATATCCACAGATATCCTAGTGTTTCATAAGGGCCCACTGGGTGGATGTGAAACTCTGACTCGGTGTCTCCTGCCAACTCTTGTCTTTCTGCTAATCTGTTGTGCTTCCAGCCAACCATCTATCCCCTCAAGCCCTCAAGTGGCGGGAATACAGGAGGAAGAACCCACTAGGGCCACCTGGTTTGTCAGGGAGCCTAGACCGAAGATCACAAGAAGCTCGGCTGGCCCGAAGAAACCCTATCTTTGAGTTCCCTGGCTCCCTCAGTGCTGCCAGCCATCTGAACTGTCGGCTGAATGGTATGTGAGCAGGGTCCCCAGTACACCCGGGACAGGCTCTGCCGTGGCTAGGAAGGGTTAGAAAAGGGGTCAGTCCCAAAGGAACATGTCTCAGGTGGTACAAGGCACTGAACTGGGCTGGAACTCCTGCACCGTTGCTCAGGATTGATTTTTATTTTCTTTCCAGGCCAAGCAGTGAAGCCATTACCACTGACCTGCCCTGACTTCCAGGACCCCTTTTCCTTGACGGAGAAGCCTCCAGCTGAGTTTTGTCTGTCCCCAGATGGCAGCTCAGAGGCCATTTCCATTGACCTGCTTCAGAAAAAAGGTGCATATAACCCCGAGATCAGGCCAGGGACTCTGCTGTCACTACCTCCTCACATTTGCCCTATTACGTAGCCTGTCTTAAATCTCTGAGTGCTGGCCAGGCGCAGTGGCTCACACGTGTAATCCCAGCACTTTGGGAGGCTGAGGTGGGTGGATCACTTGAGGTCAGGAGTTCGAGACCAGCCTGGCCAACATGGTGCAACCCCATCTCTACTAAAAATACAAAAAAATAGCTGGGGGTGGTGCTATGCCTGTAATCCCAGCTACTCAGGAGGCTGAGACAGGAGAATTGCTTGAACCTGGGAGGCAGAGGTTGCAGTGAGCCAAGATTGTACCACTGCACTCCAGCCTGGGCAACAAGAGTGAAAACTCTGTCTCAAAAAACACAAGCAAAAAAAATCTCCAAGTGCTGGGAAGGAGTTGGAGCACTCAGGCACTGGGGCCGGAGGAGGAAGCTGTGTGCTGTGTATCCTGAGTGCGTGTGGGTGAGCAAGGGTCTTTCATCAGAGACTTGAAGAGTCGAGCTCCAGTCCCTTTCCATAGTGAAAAAAGTCTAATGAGGAGGCTTCCATGTCATTAAAAAACGTCTCAGTGTCCCTGGAGGGGCGGGTGAAGGTACTAGAGGGCCCAGCAGCTTGGGTAAGCATGTTGGTGATATCTAGTAAGATCAGGAATGACAAGAAACACTCTATTTAGCAAATAAGTGATCACTGAACTAAGAACATTTTTAGGGAACTGGAGAGAACCGAGCATAATTGTGGGCTGAAGAGGAGTCTGTGAAGAGGGAGAGAGACAGCTGAAGTTCCCTGTGAAAGCAGAAAGGGAGAATCAGAGGTCAGGGAGAAAGAAGAACCGGGCAAGAAGGGGAACAGCCACCTTCCTCCAGGACGTGAAGGGGATGCGAGTGAACAAGGGAGCAAGGGGTGTACATACAAGACTGTTAGGATTTTGGAGGCAGAGGGAAGTTAAAGGAGTTTATGACTAGGGGCCTCTTCTCTAAAGCAGGACCAAGGGCTTGAGAGGAGGGGTGTAGATTTTGCATGGCAGTTTGAGGGTGTTGCAGAGGGTGCTGACAAGGCACATATCAAGGAATCGCCCTTGTCTGGCACTGGTGTGAGGGACTTGGGTTTTCTTCAGGTCAGTGGCCTGGTTTCTCAGAGTGGAGAAAACTGATAGTTAGACTGACTCAGGATTGGAATAAGAGGGCTGAGAGGTGAGGACATTGAGAGACTTAACAAAGGCGTCATTGAGGTGTCACCAGGCTGGGAAGTAAAGACAGGAAGTGCTCAAGAACTGGGCAGACCCAGAAAAGGGCCAAGCCTAAAGGTTTTACAGAGACCCACATGCAGGTGTGAAGACTGAGTAAGTGTAGGAGCACTTTCCCACCCCCACTGAGGTTTCGGCCCCAGCTGAGTTGGCTAAGGACTTTCTCAGGGACCTGTCACATCACATTCTTTCTTTCAGGGCTGGTAAAAGCTGTTAACACCGCTGTGGACCTCATTGTGGCCCATTTTGGCACAAGTCGGGATCCCGGGGTGAAGGTAGGCAAGGAAATGTGGAGAGCTGAGCTCTGCAAGCCCTCGCCTGTCCTGCGCCACCACCTTCCTTTGCTGTCTTGCATTTAGAGCCCACGGTTGGGCGCTTAGGAATGGGGATAGCAAGAGGGGAACCATGAGGGCCTGCTACAAGAGGACCACGGGCAGGCCTGAGGGGGTTTTCTGCACTTCCCTACTGCACCCGCAGGCAAAGCTGGGAAACAGTTCTGTGAGCCCCAATGTGGGTCACCTGGTTCTGAAGTACTTGTGCCCTGCTGTCCGAGCCGTGCTGGAGGATGGGCTCAAGGCCTTTGTACTGGACGTTATCATTGGGCAGCGTAAGAACATGCCATGGAGTGTGGTTGAGGCTTCCACACAGCTAGGTAGGTGCTGGGTGGCAAGATGGGGACCCTGGGCTGAATTTAGGGTTCCAGAAATTGGTCATGTGACCTGCAACCCTGGCTTCCTCCCAGGCCCATCCACCAAGGTCCTGCATGGCCTCTACAACAAAGTCAGCCAATTCCCAGAGCTCACCAGTCATACCATGCGCTTCAATGCCTTCATCCTCGGCCTGCTCAAGTGAGTACACAGAGCAGCAAGATCCCCTAAACAACCTGCCCTGCTCCCCAGGCTCTGCCTGCGCCGAGAAACCAACTTGTTGGACTGAGACAGAAAGGGTGGATCTGCAGGGTCTTGGCCAGCACACAGAATCTGTCCCCCAGCCAGCTATTGCCTCTCAGTATGTCACTGCTTTCCCACTGTGCCCATGACTGACGCTGGTCACCAATGTGGTCTTCTGCTTTTACAAATATGTCATCTGGCTTATTTGAAAATTAGTTGGGTGTCTCAAGTTCTCTGGACCTTGTAAACCCTGATCTAAACCCTCATCCTCTCCATTCCAGCACGACTTCCAAATCCTGCTTGACCTAAGTCCACCTTGGGACACACATCCTAGTAACATGCTTTTGCAGGTACGGGCCCGGGCCATGCCCCTTGGCTCCTGAGCTGCCTGTACTTTCACACAGTAGCTGCCTTGATTTCTTAGGTCTACTGCAGGCTGACTCCACTCCAGGAAGAAGCAATTGGCTTATAAATCACATGCCCATCTATCTCCCTCCACACATGCTCACTGACTCTCGGGAATTAAGTGAAATGAATCCTGCCATGGAAGGGAGAGTTCAGCTATTCTTCCCGTGCTTGACCCCCCTGGATCTGCCTCCTTATCTGGCTTTATTCACAGAAGACTCAACTTTCTTCACCTGTCTCCCTACAGCATCCGGTCCCTGGAGTTCTGGTTTAATCACCTCTATAACCACGAAGGTAATGCCCAGAACCCTGCTCTGTTGCACAAACTCAACCAGGTCAGAATTCAGAGGTGCAAAAGAGGAAGGAAGAGCTGTCTTTTCATTGCTGGAGATGGGGAGGGGGGCCATACAACCATTCATCCTCAGAGCCTCGGGCTTCCCCCCAGGCCTTCCCCAGCTTCTGCTTGAGTTAAAACCTTGGGCTGGGCATGGTGGCTCATGCCTGTAATCCCAGCACTTTGGGAGGCCGAGGTAGAAGTTCAAGGTCAGGAGTTCGAAACCAGCCTGGGCATCATGGTGAAACCCTGACTCTACTAAAAATACTAAAATAGCTGGGTGTGGCGATGCATGCCTGTAGTCCCAGCTACTTGGGAGGCTGAGGCATGAGAATTGCTTGAACCTAGGAGGTAGAGGTTGCAGTGAGCTGAGATTGCACCATTGCACTCCAGCCTGGGCAACAGAGCGAGACTTGATCTAAAAAAAAAAAAACCTTGGAGCCAGCAGGATACTCCAGCAATCTGGAAGTCAGAAGTCAGGTGACCTGCAACCCTGGCTGACTCCCAGCCCCATCCACCAAGTCCTGCATGGCCTTGAATCCCAGCATCTTACTCCTTTAAAGTCAGGGCCACTGCCTGGGGTTGGAGAGTTTAGGCATTGCACAGCTGCGGACAGCAGCATTTACACTGTAATACGTGCAAATTGCCTAGTGCACGGCCTGTGCCACTGTATGCAGCAGCTCTGCCCAGGCTATCTTTCAAAGCCCCACTCAGGCCAGGCTCTGCTTTTCTGTGTGGATCAGTCCCTTTCTCTTTTCCTCTAGACATCATCCAGACCCACTACCAGCCCTGGGGCTTCCTGAGTGCAGCTCATACCGTGTGCCCTGGCCTCTTTGAAGAGCTGCTGCTGCTGCTACAGCCCCTAGCCCTGCTGCCTTTCAGCCTCGACTTGCTGTTCCAGCACCGGCTGCTGCAAAGTGGGCAGCAGCAGCGGCAGCAGAAGGAACTGCTGCGGGTGTCCCAGGACCTGCTGCTGTCTGCCCACTCCACGCTGCAGTTGGCCCGGGCCCGGGGCCAGGAAGGCCCTGGAGATGTGGACAGGGCAGCCCAGGGGGAGCGGGTGAAGGGTGTGGGTGCTTCAGAAGGTGGAGAAGAGGAAGATGAGGAGACAGAAGAGGTGGCAGAGACAGCTGGGGGCTCAGGGCGTGGCAGGTGGGCCCAAGGCGGGCATGCCGGCTGGTGGTACCAGCTCATGCAGAGCTCCCAGGTCTACATCGATGGCTCCACTGAGGGTTCCAGATTCCCTCGTGGCAGCAGCAGTAGCAGCAGTGAGAAAAAGAAAGGGGTAGGAGGCGGGGGGCCTCCCCAGGCTCCACCACCCCGAGAAGGAGTAGTAGAGGGGGCTGAGGCCTGTCCTGCCCCTGAGGAGGCCCTGGGCCGGGAAAGGGGCTGGCCCTTCTGGATGGGGAGCCCCCCTGACTCTGTGCTGGCTGAGCTGAGGCGTAGTCGGGAGAGGGAAGGGCCCGCTGCACCACCAGCAGAAAATGAGGAAGGGGCCTCAGAGGCTTCACCTGGAGGCATCAAGTGGGGACACCTCTTTGGCTCCCGAAAAGCCCAGCGGGAGGCCCGGCCCGCAAACAGGTGAGAGCCTGCCCAAGGTAGGTATGGAGGAAGGGAGTTTGCTCTAAGCTGGGCACAGACACAGCCCAACCTGGGCAGAGCCTGAGCCCGGCTGCTGTCGTCTCCTAGACTCCCCTCGGACTGGCTGAGCCTGGACAAGTCCATGTTCCAACTAGTGGCACAGACAATGGGTGCCCGCCGGGAGACAGAGTCCAAGGACAGCCTGCAGGAGCCACACTCTCCAGCCCTGCCCTCTAGTCCTCCATGGTGAGCCTGGGGAAATAGAAGGGCTGGGCTGCTGGGGTTGGCTTTTGATGGGGTTTCTCTGACCATGTGCTCTGTCCCCAGCGAGGTACAGGCACTGTGCCACCACCTGGCCACCGGCCCTGGACAGCTGAGCTTCCACAAAGGAGACATCCTTCGAGTGCTGGGGCGAGCTGGAGGAGACTGGCTGCGCTGTAGCCGTGGCCCTGACTCTGGCCTGGTGCCCCTGGCCTACGTGACATTGGCCCCAACTCCAAGTCTGACCCCTGGAAGCAGCCAAAACTGAGGCCTTGTGCATGCTGGTGGCCTCAGGGACCCTCATAACCCCCAGACTCAGAGCCCAAGAGCCCTTCCCAAGCCCTTGGCTTGGCTACAGAGAGTAGACGGAGAGCTGGGGCCACGTATCCCTGTGCTGGCACCTGCTCCCTGTGCTCAGTATTAATTACGCCCCCTTAACTGTCCCAGTGACCTCGTCCAGACCTCCACCCAGGAAAGGAGGGACGGGATGCAGCACTGGGCTGCCAGGATTCCCCTGGCCCGTCTGGGCCAGCCCTTTCATGGGTGTAGACAAGCAAGTCCCATGGAAGCAGGTGGCCCAGAAAGCCATCTGCAGGGTTCCCTAGGCCAGGTGGAGATGAGGATGTGTAAAACAGTATTGGGGCCAGATTCCCTAAGCCCCCAGCTGTAAATAGGCTGTGACCAGTGCCTGGTCATCAGAAGAGGGAGGAGGAGCCCAGGTGTCTGTTTATGTATGTATTTATTTATTTATTATACCTATTAATAAAAAAGGTGCTCAGCCTCCAGACCATTTTATCTTCCTGCTTCCCCCACCCTCCCTCCCACCTTTCTTCCTTCCAAAAGGATGGCTGGGATAGATGAAAAGGGAAGGGAAAACTTGATGTCCAGGGGCCTAAGCCAAGAGCTGCTTCTGGAAGGTGCTGAGGCCCAGAGCATCATGAGTGAGATGCCCAAATGTGTGGCCATACTGGAACTTATACCCTGTGTGGCCAAGAGAGTCTGTCACATGTAGCCAGCAGCATGGCAAAGCCATTTCATTCTCAGCCAGCTGGCTAGACATCCAAACAGCCCTCTAAAATCTGGTCCTAACTCATTCCCCACTGTGGGTAGCTACCTCAGTTTGCTTTTCTGCCTGATGATAAAGCTGAACCACATGATCTGAGCCCTCCCATATCTATTAGTTCCAACCACCCCCCACCTACCCAATACCCATATGAACATTCCAGTCCCCAAAGCCTCCCCGGGGGATCATCTCACCTGGCACGTAGCCCCCATAGTTAGGTAAAAGACCCAGGTTCTGTGGGTATGTCCTGGGAAGTGGGGGGAGATGTTTGGGGTCTTTCTGGGCACTGCCCAGTGAGCGCTTCTGCCCAAATTCCTGCAGTGCCTGGTTGGTGAGCACAGGAAAGCTGGAGCCGAAGAGGAAGCGGGCGCGGGGCACATAGCCGGTGAAGCCTGGGGATGGGGACACTAAGCCAACACATCCTGGGGCCTCTCCACGCCTCTGATCCTGACCCCTCTGGCTCTCACCTGACATGAAGAACTTCTGAGGGTCCCTGTCATCCATGGAGTAGGGAGAAGCCTGTGAGAGAAGCCCCTGTGCTCTCACAAGCTCCTAGGGAGGTGGAGCTGACAGTCAAACACATATCCCCTAAACCCACAGCCACTCTACTCATGGCCGCTCCCGGCCCAGATACACAATAAGGCCCCCACTCCCACCCCTACACATTGCCCACCAGCTTCTTGGTCTTACTTGTTCTGCTGCCTCCAGTGCTGGCTCCTCCTCCAGCTGTCCCTCTGGCTCTGGCCCTTGGTCCTTCTCTGTGTCCTTTTCTCCCTTGGCCTTCTTTGGCAGCTCTTCACTCCCTTGCTTTCCATGCAAGTGAGTAAAGTCACTCAGCGCCTCGGCCCAGACCTGGCTGCAGTTCTTGGCAAAGATGAACTGTGCCCGGGGTACAAAACCTGGGTGGGGGGAAGGAGACAAGGAAAACTCATTAGTGTTTGGGTCATATGCTCCTGGGAGAGGGTACCTGTGCATACCTGTGTACAAACCTGTGTACCCAGGGATCATGCTGGAGCTGAGCCTTTGGTGCCCACGCCCGAGAGGCAGGCTCCTCCTGGGAACCTCAGTTGATCTTGGAGGCCGAATGGGAGGCAGAAGTGTGCGGTGGACTGTGGGCCAGGCTAGGCCAGGAGGGCCTCGAAGTAGCTGAGCAGTCGCCTGCCCATAGGTCTGGCCCGTGCTGAACCGAAGTAGTGGGCAGTGTCCAGTGTACCTGCAGCACAGACTCACCCACTCACCAGAATCCCCCTGCCCTGCCACTCCCCAGAGGCAGAAGAAGAGACATCTGGAGCCCTGATCTTTCTGGACTCAGCTGTGTATATATTTGGAGCAGGCATTTCTAAGTTTCCTGCCTGGGCTTTCGATCCTTCCTCTCTGCTGTTACCCTGTTCCCATGGTGAGAACAACACAAAGCTTTGGGGCAGACCTGGGTCTCACTAGTCCCTTGCTTCTACTTTTCCATCCAATACCATAGAGACCTCAGCCTCCCAAACCAACCTGTCCGCTTGGCCCCATACTCTAGGCAGCATAATTCCTCCACCCCTACTCCCAGCAGCAAGTGGGGAATGCTGGGTGGGAGTCTTACCCCGGGATATAACGAGGGTTCTGAGGGTTGAGCCCCGGTATGAAGGTGCTGGCCACAGCCATGGGGAGCCTGGCAGTTTCTTTTGTTTGCCTTTGAGCCAAGGCTCTGGTCTGTGTGTACCGTGTCCAGGGTTGTGGGGTCAGAGGAAGGAGGTGGGGCTAAGGGAGGAAAGAAGGGAGCGGGCACTCATGTGAGGACAGCCAGGGCCAAGGTGGGCAGAACTGTAGAGCAGAGGCTAGAGGGTCTGTCTTTCCAGGACAAAGGTGGTCCTGCATTGCAAGGCAGGGCCCGAACTGAAGGAGGCCCTGAGGTGGGAAGTGGGAGATGAGAGAGCTGAAACCATTCAGGCCACTGAGCTCTGTCTCAGTGACTTCCTGCCTGAGTGCCTGCCTGAGATGTGGACACTGTGCTCCTCGTGAGTCTTCATCAAAGGAATGGGAGACCTGGAGAAAGAGGGTCTGAGGGAAGCCAGGGCCCAGAGGGGAGGTGAAAGAGGACAGGTGATGGGGGATAAAAAGGAATCTAGACACCTCTAGGGAGTAACATCATTTATTTTCAATAATTTAACAAGAGTGGCTTACTGAATACCTGCTATAATCAGAATCATCCATTCAACAAAATGAGCCACGCTCTGCTAGGCTCTGGCCACAGTGGCCAAGTGGGCACCCCATGGGAGCCAGAAAAGCTGTGGGGGATTGAGGGAAGGAAATAGGATAAAGTTTGGGGAGGGGGAGGGGTGGTTAGACTAGGAGGCAAGTTAGAATTTGTTTAAAAAAATGATTTCAATTCTAAGAGAAGAAAAAGTACAGACCAAGAAGATGAGTTCTCAGAGGAGGGGGAACATGATTAAAACCCAGCTCTGGACTGGGTACAGCTGTGCTCACATCCAGGTACTGGGGAGGCTGAGTTGCGAGGATCGCTTGGGCCCAGGAATTTCAGTTCAACCTGGGCAACACAGCCAGACCCCACCTCAAAAATAAAACAAAACAAAAAACAGTTGTGGGGCTGGGTCAGGGCCAGGCTGAGGGCTCAGGGCCAACCTTTCTGAGGCAGAGCTCTGTTCCTCTCCCCACCTCCAGTGATGTGCCTGTGCTGACCAAGGGCAGCACTGACATCCCAGGGGAATTGCACAAGAGCGCTGGGCCCCAAGGCACATTTCATGTAGGTCCTCACTGTTCTGCCAAGGACAGCCTTGGAATGTGTCATTTAGAGTTGAGGGAGACTCACCTCACAGCTGAGGAAATATGCTAGAGTGAGGGTGGGAGCTGAGGGGAGAGCCCGGAATAGCAGCAGTGTGTCAAGCTTAACAACCAGACTTTGGCTTTTGTGACAGACACTATCACAGCTTATTACCTATTCCTCACCCCCATGTCCTTTCTTCTGAGGAGCCAGAAACTTCATCAGGGAGGCTTGGATTGCCAGCCTGGAGGAATGAACCTGGATTAGTCTAAGCTCCTTCCCCATGACTGCTTAGGCACAGGCTTCTGGCATTCTGGATAATATGAAGGAAATCTGCTGGGGCAGGGGAGGTGCTGGGAAAAGTTTCTTTGCTCTTAAAAAAAACATTCACATCAAATTAGAGCAAGTGAGAGAGACAGAGATGCACAACATGAAACAATGTCCATTCCTGCCCCTAGACTTTCAGGGGATGTGAGGATGAAATGCTGGCAGGCAACTGGAAGCCTTGTGGAAAGCTGACCTGGGGACAAGGCCTGGACATATCAAGGATGGATGGTAGAAAAGAAAGGCCAGGGTCCTGAAGGTAATGTAGGGCCATGGAATTAACCAGCCTTTTTATGTGAAATAGTAAATTTCATTATTAAGGCCACTTTAAGTTTTCTTTTACTTAGAGCCAAAGGCATCATAATTTTAAAAAAACAAAATGGCCAAGCGTAGTGGCTCACGTAATCCCAGCACTTTGGGAAGCCAAGGCCAGAGGATCATGAGGTCAGGAGTTCGAGACCAGCCTGGCCAACATAGTGAAACCCCCTTCTCTACTAAAAATACAAAAATTAGCCAGACATGGTAACGCACACCTGTAGTCCTAGCTACTCAGGAGGCTGAGGCAGCAGGATCATTTGAACCCAGGAGGTGAAGGTTACAGTGAGCTGAGAATGCACCACTGCACTCCAGCCAGAGCAACAGAGTAAGACACTGTCTCAAAAACGACAACAAAAAAGATGCTCAG